GACGTCGAATATCGACGTCAAATACACCAAACTTGATGGTGTTTATGAGGTCGAATATCGACGTCATAAACACCAAACATGATGGCGTTTATGACGTCGAATATCGACGTCATAAACAACAAACTTGATGGTGTTTATGACGTCGAATATCGACGTCATAAACACCAAACTAATTGGTGGTGTTTACGGCGTGGAATATCGACGTCATAAACACGAAACTTGATGGTGTTTATGACGTCGAATATCGACGTCATAAACACCAAACTTGATGGTGTTTATGACGTCGATATTCGACCATCAAAAATTTCAGATTTTGCGTCCACGCCGGACCCATGCAAAATTTCGCATTTTTTCGCCCACTCCGGACCCATCAAAATTTCAGGTTTTTGCGCACGCCGGACCCATGAAAAATTTCACATTTTTTTGCCCACTCCGGACCCATCAAAAATTTCAGATTTTTGCCCACGCCGGACCCATGAAAAATTTCACATTTTTTTGCCCACTCCGGACCCATCAAAAATTTCAGATTTTTTTACAACAATTTTCAGAAAGTGTGGAGTGGGTTAGCTCCTAAGATGGTTTTATCAGCTATTGCGATTTATTTTTTATTTCAATTGTTTTTTGTTGTTGTTATTGTTTATTTGTTCTGCAGTTATTGTTTCTTTGTGAGTATTATCTACTTGTTGTTTCATTTGTGGTTGTTTATTCGTGGTTGTTTATTTGTTTTTATTAGGTATAAGTCAAGAGGAACTTCAATGCTCATTAACTACGGCCATACAAGACAATGACATTATTTCGAGCTACAATCACGCGACAGATGCGTTTCTAAGCATGTTGCTTACTGGCGACAGTAAAAACTCTCTAACAAGAATACAAACTAGTCAATCAAGTTTTTTCAGTGAGGACTTATACGGATGTGTTGGTCAACCTTTGGAAATTGCTTTTCATCGCTTGATACTCTTGACGGTTAAACAAGGGTGAGTATTTAATATTGTAGACTATAGATAGTCTATCAAAGATATGATGGTCTGGAAACTTAAGGTTACAGAACACCTTTGAGTGTTAATTTTGCCTAAAATTTTTTTATTCGTTTCAATGAAAGCATTAGACTAGTTCTACTATCTGACGAAGTTTGAACGAAAAATGTTAATTGAAAACTCGCAGAGTTATTTAATGAAATACATTTCGCTGCTATAAGAAAAACATTGAAAACGTAATATTCAAATTCAATTTTCTCACGAGACATTTTAGGTAATTACTGATTTTCAAACGAGTTATGCTCCTGCGGGTTTTAACCAATTTTTCTCAAATTTTCACAGGACATAGCTAAATACGTCAGTTTCAAAATTGTGTTCGGCTTTTTTTTAATTTTGGATATTTTAAAAATAAAGAGCAATTCACTCAAACAATTCAGAAATATATTGCAGTCGTCATAGAAACCGCCATATCAGCGGAATGACGAAATAAACAAAAAATTCCGAACACAATTTTTTACAACAACTATTTTACTGTATAAAAATGATATTTTCATAAATATAACTTAAAACCAGCAGGAGCGCAACTCAAAAGCGTAAAGGTACCGCGATTTAAGATTTTCCTGAATAATTCTTAGATTATTTTATTGCTTGTTAATTTTACAACTTTACCATATTTTGCATGCACTGGAGAACATTTGGTGAAAATTTGATGAAAATCGGACTGATATTGAGCGCGCAGTAGCGATTTTCCGCAAAACGCCAAAAAGGGTGTCCTGTAACTTTAATAGAAGTCATTGAGTTTTTGTTTGAGTTGATGTTAAAGGTGCCCTACAGTCCGATCTGCGCATGTGCACCAAGGAGCCCACTTTTCATGATACAAACAGTTTAACTATGTTTTGGGTTCTTGCAAAGCCTGATTGTTGTTTCTTGATCATTTATTATACTCTAGAAGCTTGAAAATATAAATAGTTGTCGAACAAAGCTCAATATTTTGGACACAAATTGGGTTCTTGCAAAGCCTGATTGTTGTTTCTTGATCATTTATTATACTCTAGAAGCTTGAAAATATAAATAGTTGTCGAACAAAGCTCAATATTTTGGACACAAAAA